ACCGTCAGCTTGTTTGCCATTCTAAGTTGCAAAAAAAAAACGTGAAATTCTTAGTGTGGCAAGCGTCCATAGACTGCAGTGGCCGTTTACTATCAGAGAAACTGTACATTTGTGATATAAAAATAAATGCAATATTTATCATACTCGTCATTATCACGTCCACTGCTGAACATATTGGAGGATTTTAGCAGTAGTTGCCACGTTTGGCAGGCGGGTTAGCAACTACAGTTAGGCTGGTGATGTTTTAAGAGGGACGCTTCTGCCCATCCATCAAGCATTAAATTCCCTTATGCACCTCTTATGACATCAACGAGGAAAGAAGGAACGGTCCATTCTAGGGTAGGGTAGGGTATCTACAAAGTAAGTCATTGTAAAACGCCTACAAAATATCTCGAAGTATATGGGTGCATTTACGGGTACGATAGTTTTTATGAAACTTAGAATGGCAAACAAGCTGATGGCCCACCTGATGGAATGTGAGAGTGGAAAAAAAAAGAAAAGAACAAAGAAATATTTTTATACAAGTAATGAAATGAAATGAAATTAAATAAATTGAAATGAAATGAAACGAAATGAATTTATTTTGCTAGAATGCAGGTAATTTTAGATGATAGAGGTTTATATTTCCCGTGTACATTCTGCCTCTATGTCGGCGTGCAAATTTTATCAATATAAGAAATTTATATATATATATATATATATATATATTCTACATTATATTTCCTTTCCCTTGTCATACAATATATTATTATTATTTATAACAGTAAACGGAAAATAAAAGCTTGTACAATAGTTGTCGAAATTAATAAAATATTTTAACAAACTGTGACATTAATTAGTGTATAAGAACAGAAGCATCAACGCTATCTCTAGTGTAGGTTGTGAAGTGCATTTGTTTTTTTAGCAAAATATTCATTAATGGTATAAAACCCATCACATAACGGCCAATCCTTAAGCTTACATGGAAAATCCGATTTAAGCATTTTTGAAAAGTCATTTTTTCATTACCGCCCATTCTGAAAGAAATATTAACAAGACTAAAATTTTACAATTTGATATATATAGCACAACTCAATTAAATTTAAATATTAACTACTAGCGACTCGTCCCGGCGTCGCACGGGTGGACATTTGTACATTTTAAAAAGTGGCTATTAAGGCTGCACACGCGACGAAATCTTAAAAATGGAGTAACTTCTCCTGTTTTCCCAACATTTCCTTTCACTGCTCTGCTCCTATTGATCGTAGCGTAATGAAAAGTATACTATAACCTGTCCAGGAGTATGAAGAATAATTGTACCAAGTTTCGTTAAAATCCGTCGAGTAGTTTTTGTTTTTATAACGAACATACAGATAGACGGACAAAAATTTTACTGATTGCATTTTTGGCATCAGTATCGATCACTAACCACCCCCTGATAGTTATTTTGGAAATATATTTCATTTCTCTACAGATTTATTATTTATAAGTATTGATGATGGACAAATAATGATGACCGTACCATCTACCAAATTCTTAGGTATAATGATTGATGACAATTGTAACTGGAACCTACATGTGACATAGTCCACCTGATAATAAGCGGTCACCATAGCCTATTATCGCCTGAAATACCAGGGGTATTACGCGCGCCTTGCCGACCCTGAAGAAACCTATTTACCCCCCTATTAAATAGATAGATACTCTTTATTGTTTCCTCCAAAAGATTACAATAGTAAACTTATTATAAATATAAATAATTACAAGAAATAATCACAATGAGAAAACAATGGGCGACCTTATCGCTAAAAGCGATCTCTTCCAGGCAACCTTTTAAACAACCCCATGTTTTAATCTTTTAGGAAAACCTTAGCAGGGAGCTCATTCCATAACGTAACTGTTCGTGGGAGAATACATCTCTGAAACCGCGTTGTACGCGACCATTTAGGTTGTAGGGTATGAGGGTGAGCTCCCTGTCGATGGCGAGCCGTACGATGGACTCTGTAACCCTTTTAGTATTTTGATGTTCAACCATGCGGAAGACGGTTAGAATTAATGGTTCGATTTATATGAATATGAAACTGTTTTCCAAGAAAAATAAGCGACATCTACACATTTTTTAGAAAAGATATTTTTTTAGAAAAAATAACAGATCTATTAACAAGCTATGTCAATATATGTTAGTTATATTTATTAGTTAAGTGGAATTCGTTCATCCTGTCAATAGTTCACCTATCACCTCTCACTGGCGCCAGTGTATACCGATAGCGTGGGCGGGATTACCATGGTATTTTCATAATGATGACCACAAAATTTATATAGTGATCGGATTGGTACACACGTAGTATATGGGATGAAAAAGGGATGAATCATGGAGAAGAGATATATTACTTTTTATCCCGGTCATTGAACATATCCCGGGCACGCGGACCAAGTCGCGGGTAAAAGCTAGTTATTTAATAATACTGTAGTAATAATAGTACAAGTAGATATTTCATAATATCGGCACAATTGCAAGAAGCCAGGAGCCGAGGGAAGCGCAAGCTTGGCTTTTACGGACCATTGGACCGGTAAAAATATTTAATTTCAACTGAAAGGGAATTATGAAAACTGAAACTCGCTGATCGCCTGGAATGTGCTAATTGCATAGATTGTTCTTTACCTGATTTTTAAAAAGGATCGTGATGTTTTTTTGATTTTTTTTTTATACAACTTAGAGTGGCAAACAAGCTGACGGATACCTGATGCAAAGTGGTAACCGTCGCCTATAGACATGAGCAGTACCATGGACATAACAGTGTATACTGTTTCGCCCATAATACCCCCCAATGCGTTGCTATTCCTGAGCCACCTGCATTCACTGACCCCCTGCAATGCATTTGAGGTCGTCACTATTGGGGAGTCGTCCTACACTGCGTTTGCTGGTACGGGGTCGACACTCTACAATCATCAGGTCTTTTAAATGCTAACTTTCTTTACTAACATAATATTAAGTCTCTCATTATAAGACTCAGGTTCCTCTGTACACTGTAAATTCACTGCCATATTCCACCCTTCAAACCGAAACACAGCCATGCAAACACAACTGCTTCACGGTTGAAACACGAATGGGATATAGGTGTCTAAGCAAACGACTTTTATACAGTCTCTCTCTGGTAAAGTCATGTCAGTATGAGTATTTTATATATAGTATAATACCTTAATTTTCAGGAATAGCAACACATGAGGGGGCCCATGGTGCTGTTATTATCCATAGCAAGTTTCTATTAGGTGAGTCTCGAACTTGATTGCCATTCTATATACTAGAAACGTGAAAGTTTTTAAGAATGGATGGATATTTTTTACTCTTTCACACAAAATTTGCTATAGGGATTTGAAAGAAATACAGTACATGCATAGGTTTTTTAATGGGTGATAATGGTATGGTAACCCCGTCTGCGCTATCGGTATACAATGGCGGGGCACCAGTAATAGATGACAGATGAGGATGAAAGCAGGTCAGTTAGCCCATCGTGACGAATTCAACCAGAATTAGCCACGATGGTTTCCAGAGGGAACCACGTGGAGGTCGACCTCACAGGGTATATTGCGTGTAATGGGGCTATTTGACCCTATTACTAACAATCCCTTTCCCCGCACATGCATAGGTTAGGTCCCAATTAAACATATATAGGAGGATACTAATTTACGCGAGCGAAGTCGTAGGTTGAAACTAGTATTCTATATAAAAAATGTAGTAGTTGTGTTTGCATGACTGTGTTTCGGTTTGAAGGGTGAGTTGTGATAATGAAATTACAGGGCCATAGTACCTTATTTCTTAGGAATGACATTAAGGGTATCACGGACGACACAGTATACTCTATGTTCATGATACTGTTCATGTTTATAGGCGACGGTTACCACTTTCGACCAGGTGGGCCGTTAGTTTGTATGCCATTCAAAGTTTCATTAAAAAATGTGAATATTCTATATAGTATATTAGTTCAATAAACAAGCATATTTTACTTAAAACTGACCTCATATGTAAATACATACATCAATTAATAAGGAAATGTTTCGTAGATACCTACATGTAATAATTTATATATTATGGTAAAATAACTTTATTGTCCAAAAAAAAATATGGTACAAAAGGTGGACTTAATGCTAGTAGCATTCTCTACCAGTCAACCTTTGGGAACTAGAATAACTATAATAACTAGAATACAGTTGCTGCTTTACCTAAATGCTAAAAAAAGTGTAAATATTTTTAGCTGTATGTATATTTGAGTGGAAGTAAATAGGTAAGGTACGTACAGCGAAGTAGCGGAAAAAAATAAATTTTTCCACCCTAAAAAGTTAATAATATTATTTTTCTTAAAGAGGTCGTAAACAGCAGGTTATCTTATTTTTTTTTTATTTTTTATCAAAATACTTTAATGTATATGTAAATAAAAGTTATTAAAAAAAATAACTTTTATTCTAATATGTCATAACCACATCTGAACCAAATTAATCACAAGATTGTACAATAAAATGTAAATTAAAAAATTATGTAGAGATATTTTAATTATAAAGGTTAATTAAAAGTATACGTTTTTAATTAGTTTCGATGTTAATTTAATGAAAGGTCTCAAACTAAGTTATAACAGTTAATAAATTCTCTTGTCAGCATCACACAAAGTTATTGTTAAGTTTCATATCTTGCGGACAGGGATTGTAAGTCTTGTACCTTAGACTCTAATTAATTAAAAGTCTTATTAACCAGTTAGTGAGGTTTGTTTTTTTTTACATTTTATAGAAATATAAATTTAATAGGAATATAAAGTTTATATATTAATTAAACATAGCACCTTTTTTTCTGAAAATATTAACACTCTGAATTCTTTATAAAAATGTTTGTAAAAATATTTTTTTATTTATGAATATTTAATTAAACGAAAGATGGATCTATCTAAATATTAATAAACAGCGGTATGAGTAAACTGATTAAATTTTAACACATTTAATTTTTTTTTTTAGCAAAAAAATTTGAGTCTCACCTTTTCATATCTCCGAAAGGAATTGTATCTCCCAAAAAAATTGTCTTCCACAAATCCTTTGAGCACTAAATCGTTACTTCAGCATAAGAAGAACAGAACAGCATCCATTGCTAAAGCACATACGATTTCGGAACGCTGTCGGAAAGTTCGAAACTTTTGTCGGATGAAAAAAGTACGGTAATAGGACAGGACGCGCGCAGCCCGCGGCGACCGGCGAGGCACTGGTGTCTCTCTACAGCCACCCGCCTCTACCGAACGTACCTCTGAAAGGATCCAGTTCGTTACATAGTAAGATCGAAATTTGATCGCAGTTAGACAGAATGAATGCGCACTAAGACAGCTCGTTGGCTATTTAGCCCGAAAAAGAAGGGAGAACAGCGCATGCGTCCGGTCGTTCAACCCTTGCAGTGGATGCTGCATTCTCGCTGATGATGCTCACTAAGTTACTGCGTTTTAAGGTTACCTAGGTCAAGATGTTACTCATTACAAACCAGGAAGAATTTTTTTGGTGCATTTTAGTAAACCAAACTGCATTGGATAAATAGAAGTTCATATCTATTGTGTCTGACTTAATGCATACATGATAATTGTAAATGCAATAATAATTTATAGTCAAATTATGATGTGAAGACAAACAAACATTATAATTAAATTTTATTTTACAATGCGACCCTAGATGCTAGGAATGCACTATATTCATCCTCAACACTTCCGAATATATGTGATAATAATGATATTTAAATATGCATCTTGTATAACACATTTGTTTTGTTTATTTTCTCTTCAACAAATTATTATTATTATATAAATAGATAATTGGATAAACAATATCTTATATTGCTCGTAAATGTAGTTATTTACATTATATCTGTATAACTGAATTTATGCATACGATAGATGTGCAATTGTACACGTTTATAAATGTACATAGAAGCAATGGACCTATAATCGTGCCCTGGAGGACACTAAATTTCTCTGATTGTAAACTTATAAACATCAAAATATATTTTTATATTATAAAAGTAGAAAGCAAGCATACAGCCTGTCTGATGAGAAACGGTCACTGTAGCCTACGGACGCCTGCAACACTATCAGGGATATCAATGCATGTTACTGATGCTGAAGATACCTTAATACACCTTTTTCGAAGAATCTCATACTGTACTCTCTAGAGAGAATCATGACATGGATATTATTTCACAGCCTGAGGTTTCGCAAGAGAAAACCTTTCTGAAACCACACTGTACGCGACCATTAAGGTTCAAGCGTGTAAGGAAGAATTTCCTGTCGATGGCAAGCGGTATACTAGCATATAAAGATTTTACCACATATGTTAACCAGAAGTTGAGTACTTTATTTCTTAATCCCAATTCAATTTAAAAAGCTCTTGTAATTAGCTTCTCAGATAAATAATTCTCATCATCATTATCTAAGCCTGGATACAAATTTTCCCCAATGGCGTTCACCCTCTGCTTTTCGCATTCTTCCATAACCTTAACCATCGATCCCTTTTCCATCATGTTTATTCAGAACAGCAGTTAATAGTTCACTGCTGAATATATGGTTCAGCATAACGGGGATTTTGTCAGTAGTTGCCATGCTTGGTAGGCGGGTTGACAACAGCAGTTAGGCTTTTGGTGATGTTTTAAAATAAAAACGATGCTTCTCATCTCTCAACCATTAAGCTCCCTTAATAGTTTCTTACAACACCCACAAAAAAGAAAGAGGTAGCATATTCTATGTCAGGATCATACAGCAATGTTTAATAACTCATATTAATACCCACTAGAGTGCATTGCCGTTATCCATATAGTCTTTTTGCCACTAGCCGCTGTCGTACAAATTCTGGAAAAAAGTCACCTTTGTATAGACTTGTGAATTCATATAACGCTTTATTTAATGATGTTGATATTACTAATGAACGCCCAAGCACTTTTAAAAAGCTAATCTCTAAAAGATTCATCATATCATATTATGTATTATTTTTAATTTGTAATTGTTAGTTTTCCCAAATAAATAAAAAAAAAAAATTTTTACTTTTCATATTTTTTGTATTATATCTACGTAGGTTTGAAAAAGTTGTCATTACAAATATCTTTTTCGTCATCCATTTTATGAATAGGCGGGAACACCTAAAAGAGATTTGAATTTGTGTAGATGCAAATAAAAAGTAGCTGCGGCTCATTCAATACGCGAGTGAAAAGGACCCGAAATCTTATGAATTGGTTAGCAAGTCATGTTGCACGTTATTAAGCACTTATAGCACAGTTCTGAAGGTATGAAATATTCACGTCTGTGTACCCAGTGAATAGATTAGCCATTCAATGGTCTTACAGTTACTGATAAACAAGCCTCATTGGACCTAAATATGTTATTAAGTTGAGGAATATTAAATACGGCCTCGTTAAATTCGGTACAGGCATGTTATTCGAGTTCACTCACAGTAACATAGTATTTATACAGACATTTTGCTTTATGAATCAAAACGAATTATATTACTGAGATATAAGACAGTTTTAGTAGAAATTAGAGATGTTTTAATATATGTTTTTTTAAGTATTTTAAAGTAAAAATAACCGGATTAGCTTACATGTATTTTAATTGAGAAAATTCGACTAGTTTCGAGAGTACCAGTTCACCAGGTACCTTCGTCCCATTCGTGTTTCTACCGTAAAGCAGTTGTGTTTGCATGGCTGTGTTTCGGTTTGAAGGGTGGGATATGGCGTGAATTTACTGGGTACAGAGGAATAACACCTGAGTCCTCAGGAATGGCAATGCATGGGGTGTATCGTGGACGAAACAGTATACTCTGTTATGTCCATGGCACTGCTCATGTCTATAGGCGACAGTTACCACTTTACATCAGGTGGGCCGTCAGCTTGTTTGCCATTCTAAGTTGTATAAAAAAGAAGAGTATTCGGGGCCCTTAGTCATGAACGGCTATGACGCCAAATCTGTATTGAATCTGATTGTAGCTCGCGACATAGGTAATTGATGGTAAGTAGTTACCGTAGCCTATGAACACCTGCAATACCAGAGGCATTACGCATGCGTTGCCGACCCTGAAGAAACCTCTTTACCCCTCTTTTGAAGAACCCTATTCTGTAGTCTCTTGCAACAACCTCGGCAGGGAGCTCATTCCATAACCTGAGTGTTCGTGGGAGGAAACATCTCTGAAACCGCGCAGTACGCGACCATTGAGACTATAGGACATGAGGATGAATTCCCTGTCGATGGCGAGCCATACGATGGTAGAAAGTGACTGTGGGCATCAACCTGAAATCTGTGTCTGAAATTAAGAGAATTGTTCAATTTGATACCCACCACCACTTTCTATTATTATATAGCTCGCCATTAACAAGAAGTTCACACCCCATACTATAGAGCCTAGATAGTCGCGTACAGCGCGGTTTCAGAGATATTTTCTCCCACGAACGCTCAGGTTATGGAATAAGCTCCCTGTTGAGGTTTTTCCAAGAGACTACAACATGGGCTTCTTAAAAATATGGAAAAAGAAATTTCTTTAGGAACGTACGTAATGCCCCTGGTATTGCAGGCATTCATAGGCTACGGTAACTGCTTACCATCAGGTGGGCCGTATGCTTGTTTTCCACTTCAGTAGTATAAAAAAGGTATTTTATAAAATAACCCATTATACTTTGAAAGATATAATTACTTCGAAAGAAGCATTTAACGGTCACCCGTCTGTGATATTTTCAGATGGATGAAAAAGTATTTTTAATGTTATTTAAATAAACTAATTAAGTATAAAATGTTACTATTATTTGATATCATCGAAGTTAGTAGTTTTATATTATTAAAGTCCAAATAACTCTGTAGACTAAGCCGTTTTTAATTCGATAAAAAGAATCACAAAAAATACGAATGTATTTCATTTTTTAATTAATGATTTAGAATTAATTTTTTTAAAGATTTTTTTGAATAGTATCTAATCTTATTAAATAATTCTATGTATAATAAATGTTACGTGAAATAGTTATTCTTTTTGAATAAACCCAAGATACTCGTAAATACGTGTGTGTAAATAAATTCTACTACTGTGTAAATGTCAAAGCTTGTAAAAATATTTGGAAGTTTGTATTTTGACGTTGTTTGCAATCGGAAAAATGTATAAGATAAATAAAGATCCATTCTCCAAACAACGCGTGAGCCACAGAAGGATTTTGTAGATTGACTTAATTTTTTTTTAAATTTGTACTTGAAATTGAAAAGAACCTCATGCTGCAGACTCTTGGGAAAATCTCGGCAAAGAACTCATTCTCTGAAAATGGGTTATTTGACCATTAAATTCGGAAACATGTGAATGAATTCCCTATCGATAGTAGGTAATACAATGTTACAATAGAAAGATATAGGTATTTAAGACAGAGGGAAAATTGTTTTTAGATTAATTTCCAAATAGGTACTGTTTCAAAGACATGATAATGCCAGTTAACGTCTAGAGAAAGCCAATATATTATTATAACTTAATGTATTATAGAAGAAGAACAAACAAACAAGCTTGTTATTAAATAAATTCATTTTTGGAATTTTTGTGAAGTACGTGCTACATAATATGTTATTAGGTATCTAATTAATTCTTCAAATGTCTAAGTCAAATATAATGGAAAACAGTTAAAATGTCACTGAAAATTTTTAAAGCCAACCCCAAACTCAACTTATGTCACCGTGACGGGGACAATTTGCGAAACCCGCCACGGTACATTATTTGCACAACAATTTAAGTCATAAGTCGACTAGATAAAACTCATTTCTCTTTGTTCCTATTGATGAACAAGTTCACATGTTTGTAGCAACCAAAAAACTTTTCGTCGCTCGCCAATTTAAACTTTATGCCTCGAAACATGCGGTGCGTTTTTCTTCGAACGCGCAGTTAATTGGAATAAGGCCCGTGCCGGGATCGCAAACTTCTTGCTAGGCTTTTGTTTTGTTCGCACTGGATAAATATTATACAGAGCCAGTTTCGGTTAGTTGATTTTACTTGAAAACCGTTAGGTTTGATTGATAATACCTACTGCAATGCTATTTTGTTAGCGTTTTATTGATCACACTGATCGTTTTTAGGTGATTATTTGCCAAAGGAGAGGTTATATAAAAGCCAACTGCTTGAGTACATCTGTCTTAATCTTGTTTCTGGCACCATGTAGTTTTTTTAATGGGTGATAATGAAATGCTAACCCCGCGTGCGCCAGTGTATCGGTATACACTGGCGAGGCACCAGTGAGGAGTGATAGGTGAGGATGAAAGCAGGTCAGTTAGCCCATCGTGACAAGTTCCACTAGAATTAACCACGATGGTT